TGCTCCACGCAGCTGCACACCTGGGAACCTTGTGCTCCCCCCGCACGGCCACCACTATGTTCGCTCCCTTTCTGTCTACCACAGATTTCTGGCATCAGAAAAACGCCGACTACAACAACAGTCCCTTCCACATCTCTCAGTGCTTTGTTTTAAAACTCAGCGACCTGCATGTAGTCAACGTTGGACTCTTTGACCAGTATTTCCGGCTGACGGGTGAGTGGCCACTGTGCTTTTGTCCTATTTTGGGTGAAGGCCAGTGTCACCAGTGGGCTTCCACCTTCATATGTGGGTGCGTTATCGCAGGCAGAGTTTATCTGCTCAAAAGCCAGTTCACCGGAGCGGGAGGAAGCAGCTTCAGGAACTGCTGAGAGGGCAGAACTCACCCCTCAGGACTTGGAGCGAGAGGCTGGGGACAGAGGCGGCAAAGTGCTGGGTGGGCGGGCAGAGTGGGCCCTGGGCTCACGGGCAGGATGTTTCTGACTCATACTTCCTGAAGAGAGAAAGCTAAGCTCTTTCCTTAATGCCTCTGTATCCCCTTCCAGAAAAATGTTACAGCCCTTCCGGCCTGAGAAATGGCCGTCTCCCCAGGCCCCGTGGTGCTTCCTCAAGTGGGTCCTCCTGACCCTGGCTCTGTGGTCCTCAGGTCCAGGCTAACCTGCTAGAGACTAGAGACGGCTCCAGGGGTGGGGATGGGGCTGTGGGGAGTAGCAGTCTGCAGCCGTGCCCGGCCCCTTCTCCCGCAGGCTCCTCTCCGGCGCAGGTGGTTACATGCTTGACGCGGGACAGCTACCTGACACACTGCTTCCTCCAGCACCTCATGGCCGTGCTCTCCTTGCTGGAACGCACGCCCTCACCTGAGCCTGTCGACAAAGACTTCTACTCTGAGTTTGGAAACAAGACCACAGGTATCCCCACCCAGCTCGGGTCTCCTCGCCAACCCCAAGGGCTGAAGCAGGCCCCAGAACAACCTCTCTGTGCCGCAGCACCCTCTCTGCTTCTAGCTCTCTCTCTCTCTCTCTCTCTCTTTTCCTGCTTAGTCAGCTAGGGTTTTCCATGGCAGAGTCTCTGGCCCGGCAAATCCACAACCGTTCAGCATCTCAGTGTCTGCTCTTCTCTGAGCTGCTGGCCTGAGGGTCTCTGCCTGAGGGTGGGGGCTTGGAGTGCTCTCTCCCACTTCTGACAGATGCGTGACTCATGCTGCCGTCTCTGGGTGGCTTGGGGCTGCTGGTGAACCACCACAGGCCAGTTGCAGGCTGCAGCCCCGGTGGCGTCTCTCTCTGCAGGGAAGATGGAGAACTATGAGCTGATCCACTCAAGCCGTGTCAAGTTCACCTACCCCAGTGAGGAGGAGGTCGGGGACCTGACGTTCACTGTGGCCCAGAAGGTGGCTGACCCAGAGAAGGTGCCATCCCTCAGCATCCTGCTGTATGTGCAGGCCTTCCAGGTGGGCACACCACTATCTGGGCGCTGCAGGGGCATGTTGCGCCCCAAAACGCTCCTGCTCACCAGTGCCGAGATCTTCCTCCTGGACGAGGACTTCGTCCACTACCCGCTGCCCGAGTTCGCCAAAGAGCCGCCACAGAGGGACCGGTACCGGCTGGACGACGGCCGCCGCATCCGGGACCTGGACCGCGTGCTCATGGGCTACCAGACATACCCACAGGCCCTCACCCTGGTCTTTGACGACGTGCAGGGCCACGACCTCATGGGCAGCGTCACCCTGGACCACTTTGGGGAGGTGCCAGGTGGCCCGGCTAGAGGCGGCCAGGGCCGTGAGGTCCAGTGGCAGGTGTTTGTCCCCAGCGCTGAGAGCCGAGAGAAGCTCATCTCGTTGTTAGCCCGCCAGTGGGAGGCCCTTTGTGGCCGGGAGCTGCCCGTGGAGCTCACTGGCTAGCCCGGGTGGTAGCTGGCCCTTGCCACCCGCCGTGTCTGGCCTGGTGTCCACTCAGGGCCGGGAAGGAGGCTTTCTTTGCTTTTTTAAAATGTTTTCTCTTCTCTTTCGGTACCTTTGATTGTCCTCCCAGAGAATGTGAACATGTGTGTTCAATTGGTTCTCAGCCTCCCGCGGATCTGCTGCCTGCCCCTGGTGCCGTGTGGCCAGGCACACCAGTTTCGTGTCTTCTTTCGTGGGACCGTTGTTAACATGTGGCGCCGTGGGTCTGGTTTACTCTTTTACGCGTCCTTTCCCGAGATGTTAAGTTCAGTCTTGTTGCTGTTGCTGTCATTGTGGGCACTTGCTGCTAATTGTGAAGCTGGCAGAGAAATGCACATTGAAAGCTCCCGCTCCATGCAGTTTTCCAAAGGGGAGGCCTCTCCTGGTCCAGACAAGTGGGAGAGCCCCATGGGAGCAGGAGTCCCCCAGGCCTTGGGGCTGAGAGGGCTGGGAGCAGGGGACCTAGAGCTGCCAGCACCAAGTATGATTCCTGTTGCCTATTTTCTCTATTCCAGTAAAGCCAAGTTTGACACAGTCTGGGTCTTTTATTTCAAGGGCCACTGGGGTCCCAGCAGGGCATTGGTTCAGGACATGGTTGGCCTGAGGGGGAGAGGGTGCCTAGAGATGCAAGAAGGTCTTGGGGTAAAGGAAGAGGGGAGGAGCCTGTGAAGGGCAAAGGGAGCTGCTCTCCCAGGGCCAAATGCTAGATGGGTGTGTCTGTGGAGCCTGGGACAGGGGAGGTGTGAGAGGATCTTTGGACAGGGCCGTGCTGGGCTGTGGCTAAACCAGGAGCCTCAGGGCAAATGAGAGGAATGAAGCTCCTCAGGTGCCCCTGGCACACCGGCTGCTGCCCTGCCAACCCTCAGATCAGGAATGTCACACCCGACCTGTTGTGAGGGTTAGGCCTGGAGTCTGGGATGGCTTACTCTGTGGGGTCTAGGGGTCTCACCAGCATGGCCTGCAGAGGAGGTGGCCCCAGCGGTGGATAGTGGGGAGGAGGGCTCTGTGCCGTCCGTGTCTGGGTGCATGTCCTGAGAGATGGTTGCTTCAGGGAGCTCTGCTGAGGTAGGACGTGGGATTTCTTTGGGAGCCAGCCCCTGTGCCCAGTCCCTCCTCAACCCATTTCTACCCCATAGCAGGGCCTCTGAGGCCCACTTACTTTCTCTCATCCTGGCCAGTCAGGAGCCTTCGGCCCTAAGGCTGCAGGACCGTTTGGGCCCAGCAGTATTGGGGATGGGGGAGGGGCCAGCCGGGTTCCCAGGCCTGCTTCTCCTCGTTTTTCCCTTCGTGCCAGCAGAGTGGGGGATCCTCACCTGGAGGACCCATCACCATCAGGAAGGCTGTGGTGGATGGGAGGAGCCACCAAGGGGAGGGGAGGGTCTCTGCATTCACCTACCCCCAGCCAGATCTCAAAGACCAGCCCCATGGCCCCTCAGCTGATGGGGGAGGGACTGCCCCCAACCAGACCTTTATCAAAGGCCCGTACAGATGGCCACCTGCCTGTCTCGATCGGTTATATCATACATAAATGGGGATTTATAGACCAGAGGCAGGGTCCACCACGCATAGGCCTTACCACCTGGACTGCTGTTCCCAGGTCCCACAGCCCAACAGTTAGCAGCCGACCCCAGCCAGGGTCCGTGAGGACAGGACCTAATGGGGGGAGTCCATGCAATGTAGTGGGGGCAAGGGTGCCCCGCAGGCAGCAGACCTGGGGTTGGATCTTCACGGTGGTTAGCTGAGTGATCTTAGACAAATTCCCTAGCCCCTTTGAGTGTCCGTTTCCCCACCAGTAACAGGATAATAAAAGTGCCTGCATTCATTCAGCCCACAAATTTGAAGTGAGCATCCATGCGTGAACCAGCCCGGCCCCTTCCCTGCTCTCCCATAGCTGACATTCCAGCGGGGGACAGAAAATAAACTAGTGTCAGCTGGTGGCCAGTGCTACGAGGAGGTGAAGGCTGGAGACCTTTGACCTGAGGCTGAACCTTGTGGTGAGTCCTGTGAGGATCTGGGGTAACGGCAGCACCCAGGGAGCTCGCTCTGTGGTTATGGAGTAGAAAAGCCGGTGGTGGAAGAGAGTGGGGGGGTGTAGAGAGCAGGCAACCAGGTCAGAGAGGCTGGCCTGCTGTGGAGAGGGATGCGGGGCACAGGGGGCCTCAGGGCTGAGTGGAGGATGGACTGGGAAGGGAGGGCTACTGGCAGCAGGGAGGCCTCTCCGGGCGAGAAGGGCGGCGCAGGGACACATGGGGGATGGGGATCCTGGGCAGTGGAGGCCAAGCAGGGCAGGTTAGGGGGAGCAGCCTGATGACTGTCCACTTAGCAGGGAGTCAGAGGCCTGCATGTGCCCTCAGCAGCTGGAAAGGTAGAGGCAGACGGACCTGATTCAGAGGCTGCCCTCTCCCCCCAGGCACCAGAACCCCCCAGAGCTTCTGAATGAAACATGCTGGGCTTGCAGGTACTTGGGGTGGGGAGTTGTTTGCATCTGCTCCTGAGTGTGCTTCACAATCTCTGAAACACCCCAGGCTTTGTGGCTAATGGTGGGCTTGGAGGCTGACGCCAGGAGGAGGGTCCCAGGCCAGGAAGCCCCAAGCTGGGCCCAGGCGTCCACACAGGGGTCAGTGGCCAGCACCTTCCCTTCCGCCTGCAGGCTGCTGATACGCAGGAGGAAATCCTGGCGGGTTCCTGTGGGGGTGAGCTGGCGGGGCCTCCCGGCTGCTTTTAAAGCCCCCGCCCGCCCTGTCCTGCCTGCCCGCCCTGTGCCTGCCTCCTAGAGCTCATTCTCCACGCTGGCTGCACCAGTTCTGTCCTGGACAGCGTGCCCGCCAGCCACCACCAGCCATGGCAGGGCCCCGGGACCACCTCCTGCTCTGCCTCCTGGCCCTCTGCCTGGCAGGCTTCAGCTTCATCGGGGGGCAGAAGGTGAGTGTGAGCCGGTTGCGGGGGGACATGACATCCAGGCCCTCCCAGCCAGCGGTAGGAGCAGGGAGGGAGCGCTCACGGATCAGGCGCGGGGCTGGGGACACACAGGGCAGCTGGTTCGTCTGACCTTCTCTGAGCTGGACAGAGGGCTGGGCTTTTGTGCCCACCTCCCCAGGCTGAGGTCTGTGTCTCGCTGCTTGGGTTGGCAGGGATGTGTCAGCCTGCCCTCCTCTGTGTCCGGCTAGCCAGCCAGGGGGTGTGGGCAGCCGTCCCAGGTCTCCGCAGCCTGAGGGTAGGGTATACAGAGCCAGGCCCATCCCCCTGCCCGGACTGAGGCCCGGTGTCTCTGTGGCCCTGGCTTGGGGATGGGAGATGTGATCACCCCCAACCCTCGCAGGCGGACAAACTGAGAGGCTCACGTGGACCATGTGTAGGCGTGCTGGGTGTGTGTGCATGTGTGTGTGCCCAGAGGCAGAATGAGGTCTACTCAGCCCCAGTCCCTCTGGGCAAACAGCAGCCAACAATAATGCCCTCAAGCCTAAGAGCTGCTGTTCAAGTGCACAGCCCTGGGCACACCCAGCATCATCCCCTCAAGCCATCCCAGCTCCTGAGCAGTGGGCCCTGTTGTTCTCCGCTTGAGGAAGCCAAAACCCAAGGATGATAGAGACAGGTTGGTCCAACTCCAGAGCTGCGGTTCCCCATCTGGCCATGAGGGAGGAGCCGACGGTCCCAGTGTGTGGCTGTCAGGTCCACATGCACAAGCCCCCTTTGGGATGCCTGTCTGCAGATCCACCCAAGCCCCATAGTAGGGACATTTTCCCAACTGGAGTTTCTGTAAGAGCCTCCCACCCTAGGCCTGGAGACAGAGTCACCTGGCTGGGGCCTGCCTCCAGGTGAGGGACCCTCTCCTGTGAAGCCAATTTCTCTTGGGGTGCTGCTAGTGTCCCCAAATCACTAACAGGCAGACTGAGGTCCCGAGAGGAAAAGGACTTGCCAGGCAGAGCCAGGACAGGGACCCAGGCCCTGTGCTACCCTGGGGCTTACTCTCATCGGCCTTGTGGTCTGGTGAGGGGCCTCACCAGCTTCAGGGCCAAGTCAGGGTTGGGAACGGGCAGATCTGAGGTTGAAAAAGTGACAGTGATGGTGCAAGAGCCAAGGGTTTCAGGCTGTGCTGAGCCCTGCAGGTGGTTCCTGCTCCCTCCCTGCCTCAGTTTCCCCATGTGTACAATGCAAGGGAATTTTGAAGGCCACCTCCTTATGTTCTTGTGACAGGGGTCTATGAGGGGCCTCAGCCTGGGAGTTTTTCCTTGTCACAGACCACCTCTAAGTCTGCCCTCTGGGGCTGGGGCTCAGACCTCCTGGGCCAGGGAAGAGGGCCCTGGGGGTTCTTGCCAGGGACGCAGCAGCGCTGGCCTCTCACTCACCCTCAGTCCCTCAGCACTACCGGCACCTTGTGTAGCACGAGATCCACTGTAAACATTAGGAAACCGAGGCTCTGAGGGGAAGGGATGACTTCTGGGTCACACAGCTAGTGAGGAGCAGAACTCAAACACAGGAAGGTTCAGGCAGTAGAGGCAGAGAAGGCTTCCTGGGGGAGGGGGCTTGGCACCTGTCTATTCAAGTCTTTCACAAGTGCCTCCTCTGCTAGGTGTATGCTGGTGCAGGTGAAGCCTGTGGTCTCAAGCTGTGGTCTGAAGGGAGAGGAGCATTGATCTTGAGCAAGGGGAGGTAGTTGGGGAGGTCCCTTCCCATCTGAGGGAGTTTGGGTTCTGGGCCCTGGACCCCAGCTTGGGGGAGTTTCTTCCACCTTCTCACAATTTATCACAACACGAGGCTAACACCTCGTGTCTCCTCAACTTCCCCAGCTGTGTCTCTATGGGATGCAGACATTGCAAAATCAGTTCTGGATTAGGACAGGGAGGGGAGCAGCACCCGCCTGGCTCAGACGGGTCCCGAGGTGCCCTAGGGAAGAAGGGAATCTGATTCAGCACTCGGCTGGAATCCAGCCTCACTCCACCCAACGGGACCAGTGGCGAGAT